GATATATATGTATATCCATTTATGTATGTATTTACATTTTGAAACATGTTTGCAGTAGACTGATTTATTTATATAATATTTTTTTTTTTTTTTGCTGAACTGGCAATTTTGATATTTTCTTTAACTATTACAAATATATATATAAATTTTATTCCATACCAATTTGTATTACCAAACTAAAATTAGTTTTTCAGAGGTGTGATTTTCAATGAGGCAATACTTTTTTTGCAGTTGGTCTTTTAGAGGGCTGTTCCTTGAATTATACTCAATTTGGTTTGCCATTTCATAATGAAGAGATCTACTCTAGTGGATAATATACATCCTCAGAGACACCGTACAGTGCGCACCGGTGTCATTATTGTGGCGCTGTGCCCACATACTTTACAGAAGATTTTTCGGAAGCATCTTGGTTGGCTGGCTTACAAAATCCGGCAATGATCAATAATTGCTGCTGGATGCTGAACGACTTACAAGATCCCACACGTTCGATGAATAAGCTCCAAACGAGTTAGCCACTGATCCTCATTACAAGAAAATATTGTTCAGCGATGAAGCTCACTTTTGGTTAAATGAGTACAATAATAATCAAAATTGTCTCATTTGGAGTGATGGTAATCCACAAACTATTGTTCAGTTGGCGCTACAGCCTTCAAAAGAGGGAATCATTGTTTCCTCAAAATTGAAACCGGTCATACTAAAGAGTAAAAGACTTTTTCGCATCTGAATTGGATGCTGTTAATGTGGACGACCTTAAATTATAAGCGTTTTATTTCTTCTCTAAATAACAGCCTTTATTTGTTATGATGCATTAAATAATTATTATTTAATAATTAGATGAATTTCGCTTCGAATTAACATAAGCATTGGATTTGAAGCTACTCTTGCCAGCTGGAAAGACCTTTTCTCTAATATTATGTTCTTATGTATTATTATATATATTTTTTTTTTTTGTTATGAACTAAAGGTTAACACTTCTTGAACGCTGCTGTACCTGAGTCTTCTGCTGCGCTATAGAATTTAATTCCGTTTATGATTTTCAATTTTTAGTTATCGAAAATGCATACGCATACTTCAATGTATTTCAAATAAAAGTAAATATATTGGTGATTTTTTTTTATTAACTGGACTTTAATATTTCGTTGAAAGCCAAATAAGCCAGTTGACGTCCAATATGATTTTGTAAAAAAAAAGTAATTATTTTTGGTAAAGGCTTCTACATTTAATCATGCCCAATTTAGGCTTCGACAATTTCTTTGCGATAATTTCGATATAAAAGAGCACTACTCAATAAAATAATGGAGGTCGTAGAGTTTGACGGTCAGGCGAACACTGTTTTGATTGCCCAGGAGTTAAGACAATGCCCAAGAAACAGTTCGGAATCACTTGAAAACAACTAGATACACAAAAAACCTCGATGTATGGGTGCCAATGAGTTAACGAGAAAAAACCGAATGAATCGAATTTCCATCCTGCGTATTGCGGCCGAATCGTAACAAAATCTACACTTTTCTAAAAACGGATGGTGACTGCTGATGAAGAGAGGATTATTAACAGCAACTTAAAAATATCTGCCGAGTACCTAATGCTCGGTTTCAGTTAAACTTGGAACTCCTTACTTTTTTTAGGAATAAAATTTAAAATCTTAGTATTAATTTATATTGAAAATAACAACAAAAATGAACCGATTTGAAATAAATAGAACAGATTAAATGTTATCGCAAAGCAAAACATACATACATATGTACATACGTACAAATATAAAACATTTTGACTTATAAATATGGCAAGTAAATATGTATAGTATATGTGTATTGAAACGAGTTTACCATCTGCATACAATCGCTCTGTACTTAAAATTATGCATCACGTGAGCTCTTATCAGATTAACTTTGAATCGTGTATGTATATATATATATAAATACTTATGTATATAGATTTCATTGTTTAGACAAATTATTGTTCAACAATAAATAAATATTAATTAAAAAGAAACATGAAATAAAATTCCGGGCAACGGATAGTAGATTGACTTTTCGTAATATTTAAGATTGAAAATAGAAAAGAAAGCATATTCGCGGTTGTAAATCCTTATATTTAATGTTTTTTAAACATGCGGAGTACATACATGCGTACATTCAAGAGGAATATTGTTAATAAGTATAGTATGGTATTCGCGTAAGAAGGTATATCTAATTTACCAATTTTTGATTTTTGTTAAAAGAAAAACTTTGAACCTGAACAAATCGGCTGCCTGGGACCTCAATGTTTATAATCCACCAATTAGGCTGATCATTAAAACAAAAAATAGTGGAATATTAAGAATCGAAAAATCAAAAAAATTAAACAAAAGAAGTCGTGTAAAAAGATTTCGAATTCGCGTAGAAAAATTCCTGTATGTATAATTTTTGTATTTTTGAGCTTTTTAAACCTTTTTGCTTTCGAATAGAATAGAATTTTGGTGATCGCAGGTGACATTGTCAATTCCTGTATGTATAATTTTTGTATTTTTGAGCTTTTTAAACCTTTTTGCTTTCGAATAGAATAGAATTTTGGTGATCGCAGGTGACATTGTCATTTTTGGTACAAATCGTAGACAAAACAATAAATATACTCACATACATACATACAGATACAGTTAAATGTTTCAAGTTTTCAAAAAAAAATTAAAAAGGCACCGACATGCTGGCAATGATCCCAATTTTAAGCATCATACATACATATATACACCTATGTACATATAAAAGTACTTTTGTGTGGCCCTATTTTAAAAACCCTATTTAAAAGATGTTTAAATTTTCTTTTTGTATATTCGTTTTTTTCTTTGATTAACATTTTGACGTCAAATAGGGCACTTACTTACGTCTTAAGTCACATTCACGTAAAACAGCAGGTGATTTTATATTTAACTGCATAAAAAAGTGTGATATATTACATACATATGTATGTGCGAACGTTCATTAAATTCTTTGTATATAGAAAAAATAATATATTAATTACCTTCAAATCGAACTATGTGACTTTTCTGCAGCGACAAATGCGACATTAAAACTCGCCAAATTGTCTATGTTGTACTTTTACCTTCGCTATTTGAAATATATTTGTATGTATATATGTATATGTATGCATACAATCGCCAAGTGTGGACTTAAAAAAAAATTACTTAGATTATTTATTATTTTGAAGCCAAAAATTTTCCACTATTTTTTTTTTTTTTTTTTTTTTTTTTTTTTTACTTAATAATAAAAAAATCAAAATTAAAATAAAAATTCATATATACATGAATATAAACATTTATTATAGTATAAATGAATANTTTTTTTTTTTTTTTTTTTTTTTTTGTTTTGCTAAATAATACATTATTCAGACTTTGGGTATACATACATATATACATGAATATAAACATTTATTATAGTATAAATGAATATCTTTGAGTACTAGCCTAATTGCATATGTTGTTGTCAAAGAAATTGGTCAAAGCACAAATTTCGATAATTTCATAAGTGTGTATGTATGTATTAGAGCTCTAGATACCCTAATATCGAGCACTCCGTTGTTCAAATGTTGGTTTAAAATTTTTCGAATTCTAGTATAATAATAGTTTATTAATTGTATTAAAAAATTGTTGATACCAATACAATTTGTTTAATGGACTTAATAATAATGACGAAGATTTGTGTATAACTTGCTTTGCAACAATTTGTCGCTCAGATTTTAGAATTTCAGGAAGGATGATTGAAATACGAAAATGAGTTTGGAATTATTTTGCCGTGTACGCAGGTCATATTAACTTGACTCAACAATAATTATATAGTTTTTTCGATTCTGTTAAATAAAATCCCAGCAAGAGCTTTATTTTTCCTTTTAAACGCGTCGTCGCTTCCGGAAGCTTAAGAATGCAGTATCGTCATTGTGACCATCGAACTGCCTTTGGTCGCCACTGTTTTCCACTAAATTACCGAAATCCAAAATTAACTTGCTTTGTACAAGAAATAATAATAAATTCTAATTCTATGCCTTCGGCGGCCACGGTAGCCGAGTGGCTTACATTGCATACTGCCATTCGGAACGATCGGGTTCCAGTCCCCGTGCGACCAACATCCAAAAAAAAAATAGAAAATTAATTTAAATAAAAATTATATAAAAAATTAAGCCAAATTTTCTTATTGCGGTCGTCCCTCGGCAGAGAGGAGGAGCACGGCCGTAAATCGCTTCAGTGGTTTCAAAGCGCTATTATCACAAAAAAATTAAAATTACTGCGAAATTCCGATTTATACACAATTTTCTTTCTGCAATACAAAATCAGAGCTAACAAGAAAAAAGCTGACTTCGGTCAAGCTGATGTCTTTGCACATTTCAACGTCAAATAAAATTTATCTTATGAAATATCTCAAAAGCTGTGGTAAAATCCACACAACTCATCATTTTGATCACAATTATACAAATTTTGATGAGTCCATCTCTGCTTTCTCTTCTCTGTCGGGTATTTACTTACTTTCATATGCAAGAAAGGTACGAAAAAAGAGTTTATCCAACTGAGGAAAATGATATCGCCAAGAATCGTGGGAGATCTGCCATTGGATTTAGCTAAGAAAAATATTCCATAGTGCAGTTTTGAGCGCGAAAATTCGTTTTTTTAGTGATGCTCAAGCCATATGTATATCAGGAATTGATTATGTTAAAAGAGATCTTCTAACGCAAAATCAGATATCTGCAAAGTCGGAGTTCTCTCATTATACACATATTTCATAAAATATTATACAATCGGGTGTAAAAATTATAGAACTTATTTGAATTAATCATCAACATTTTTTCTTCATGAATCGAACACGTTTTTGTTGTAAACTCCTAATAGAGGACGTAGGCCCACAAGGCCTTATGATATATATACACGATGACTACATTTGTATTTATCTCCATCCTGGATGAAATAACGATAATATTTACTTGTTCTTTTTATTATTGTTTTATATGTTTATTCTTTTATTGCTTTCTCTTCTCAGATAACAGCTTGAAGGCCAATTTCAAAGCCGATTGAAACCAAAAAAAAAAAAAAAATGGCGGTCAAAATAAATGTGTGATTGAATGTAAAATCCAACGGTCAATGATTACTTTTTATGCTGCTACTACTAAATAACTGTAGATAAAACTGTAATAAATAACAAAGAAAAAGTTAAAGACAAGTCAGTTAGTCCCACCGACAAACTTCCAGCACAAGGCGGCGCTTTTCAAATAGCGATCGTCGTAGTCATCGAGAAGAAGTTACATTTTTAACACTTAACATAACCTACAAACACATACAGCTAAAAGTTTACAATAGACAAAGACAAGCTTCAAAATGCATAGCCTTGTAAAGGTATTCAGTAACTTTAGAGAGTTCTATAATGAAATCAATGGCGCCACACTCACCGGCGCCATCGATGTGATCGTTGTGGAGCAGCCGGATGGCGAATTCCAATGTTCACCTTTTCACGTGCGTTTCGGCAAATTGGGCGTGCTGCGCAGTCGCGAGAAAGTGGTACGTAAAATTATCACTCTTAATTATATGCTAAAAAATATTATAATACGTAACCGAATTTTCCTTTCAGGTCGATATTGAAATCAATGGGGAACCCGTGGATATCCATATGAAGCTGGGTGAATCGGGTGAGGCATTCTTCGTTGAGGAATGTCCCGCCGAAGATGCTGAGTCATTGCCGGCGAATATGGCCACCTCACCAATACCAAGCAGCCATTTCCCCAGCAAATATGACAATAATACAATAACAGAAGACACACTCGAGGGCAAATCAAAGTGAGTAGCTGCTTTTTTCAGGGGTTTCGAAAATTCCCCTTGTTTGTACATGTTTAGATTTTGAAATGATATATTGTAATTTAATTTTATAGTTTTGAATTAATTAGTTATTCGCATTTGCATACGCATGTACGCTTTCAGAACCTACTTTTCCATGTTTTCAGTTTATTCCTGTTTATTTAGTAATTTTATTTAAAAGATTTTTATTTTTATTTTTCATTATTCTATATAGAATTGCTAGCGATGACATTCAACTGCCGCTGCCATTGCCGCGTCGAAATTCCATTGACTTTTCAAAAGAGACCGAAAAGGAAGATCAAGTGCCGAAATTTGAGAATCAAGTCTCAGATTTTAGCCACAGAAGGTAGTGTTATTTGTTTTCGTTTATAGACATTTTTCAATTTAAAATTTAGTTTTAAATACACTACATTTAATCGCATTAAAAATCAAAAATGATATTTTTAGATGGTACATACATACATACATACATACATACATAGGTGTTCTAAAGTAGAATTTTACAAAAAAAATATGGTATAAAGTCTTTGTGCTTCTCATATATGTATGTACTTACATGCATATATACATATATACAATAATGTAATAATTCAAATAATTTAGCAAATACTTCTTTCCGTCTCTTTATAGACACACAGACAATACACTAGAGCGTCGTAATCTAACTGAGAAATTGCACGAGTACACTACACAAAAACTGCGGCAGGAGTGGGCCGAACATGAGGAGATATTTCAATTTGAAACCGTTGAAAGAGAGAAGGTAAGCTGAGAGAGGAATTTTCGCATTGAAGATATTTACTATAAGCCATCTCTCTTCTCCCTCACAGGAATGGATTGACAGCACTCAAACTGATCCCAAGTCTCTGCAGAAAAATGGTGCGGATACCGCTCCTACACCAGCAATCACTGTACAATCACCTGACAAAGATGAGCTTCCAACAAAAGAAAATAAATCGCAGCACGCTGATATCAATACTCCTACCGAAGCGATCTCCAATAACGCTAGTCCAAAGGACGAATCGAAAGGTGGCAAAAAGAAGCGTCGTAAGAAGTCGCAAATGAAGAAGAAAAATGCACAACGCAAATCTTCTTCGAGCAGCTCAATTGGCAGCACCACGCCTGGAGAGGTTGGTACCAATGGCAATGGCTTGAATGCCGATGAGGGTGATGGCATCTCAATTTCGAATAATACCAATTCCTCATCGAATGAGGAAATTGCGACAGCAAAGTCAAATATCGAACAACAATCCGCACCGCTAGTCTCCGCCATGGCCGGTGATGAGAGTCCCATAAGTGAGACGTGCCAAACTACACCAATTACGCCCAACACGCGAATACCAGATCTCGATATACATTTCTTCAGTGACACTGAAGTGACACCCTCCGGTGGAGCGAGCAGTTGTGTTGGTCGTGGCAATGGTCGTCCCTCAACACCTATACAAAGTGACAGTGAGTTGGAGATCTCGTTGCGTGAGAAGGATGTCGATGTTGAACTTATGTCCAATTCGGCATCGTGGAAATGGGGACAATTGCCCACACCTGATATCAGTGAGAAGGCTGATGGCAGCGGTGATCAGTCCGCTCAGTCGCAGGCTCAACGCAATTCCATGTTGAGTGGCATGTTTAATTTCATGAAGAAAACTAATAAAATGCGTAAGCAGGCTACCGACGGTGGTGTGTATTTGTCTGATTTGGATGCGGAAGGTATGGATCCGGAAATGGCAGCATTATATTTCCCACTGGCGAAACCTACAAATAATACCACAGCAAATGCTGCTAATGCGACTACGAGTGCGAATACGCTACACTCCGGCGATGACGATCGTGAAAGTGGCAATGGCACAAGCCTGCCACATTCGCCCAGTTCAATGGAGGGCCAAAAGAGCGTGGATTCGGATTATGATGATGGCAAGCTACAAGATCCAAAGTAAGCCAACAAATAAAATAAATCAATCAAAAGGAAAAAGAATGTAGATTTAATTTTTTTTTAGATATCTGGACTTTGTCGCGATGTCTTTATGTGGAGTTAACGACAAGGGCGAGCCTTCAGATGAAGAGTTCGATCAGCACCTTATTAAATATTCTGATGTAAGTTGATTGTTTTCAGTATCTCTTTTTACCGTTCTTAATTTGTGCTCATGTTATACTCTTTGCGTTAGTTGCTAACAAATATTGAATGAGTAAAACAATTACATTACGCCTTATTTTTATTACACCTAACGCTAATATATACATATGTACATGATATTTGCTATTATTACAAATAGTTTTTTAACAAAAAAAAAATTACGCAACCGGAAAAATTTTCAGATGCACATTTAGATGTATTTTTAACCAAATAAAATGTTTATGCACCAAAATAATTACTAATTGCAAACCACACAAAATATCAATCATCATCATAGGTTTGCGAGAATCCCAGTCTTTTTGCATCGCCAAATCTAGTTGTACGCCTGAATGGCAAATACTACACCTGGGCTGCTGCATGTCCAATTGTCATGACCATAATAACATTCCAGAAACCACTTACTAACGTAAGTTTGCTAGCACGCCTACTAATGGCATATAAGGCTGCAACTACCCAACGAGCGTACCAGCCGTCCATAGTAACCTATCTTATGAGAGCGCCATGTAAACACAAAGTTGTCACCGATTTACCATAGCGTTGCTGACGTTTGTGTCGCAGAAACCAACGAAGTTTTGATTTTTCCGTAAAACCGGCTCGGCTCATTTTTCGTTGCTATACAAGGTTGCCAGTATAGCCTTTCTTAAAGTAACATTAAATAATCGAAGATAATGCGTAGTTTTGTTCAAAAGAAATGAAAACTAAATGCGTAACTAATTATTTGTTACTATATAGATCATGTATATTTGCCTTGTGTTTATGTTAAAGCAAATAAATTATGAAATTCGTTGACGAAAATTATGAATTTGTTCAAAAGTGTGCAAACACACAGGCAGCTGGCAACATTTCTCAGCTCTCAGCGACGTCGATAACTCGTGTGTTTATCTCGCCTCGACGTCGCCAGTTATGGACGGCTGGTGAGTGAGTTGGGTAGTTGCAGCCTAAACGCAAAAGCGTTATTTTTCAATTGTTTCAAATCGTTACCGTCAGCTTCATACTTTAATTGATTGCTTTATATACAAATTTATAAATATAGGATGCCATTGAGCAGTTGATGTCCAATACTAAACATGATGAAACAGTGAAGAATGAGAGCGACGGTGTCGCCGCCGATGCTGGCGCACAGTCGAAACGTTCCTGGTGGAATTGGAGACGTTCACAGGCTGGTGCTGTTCCCAGTTCTATAAAAATTGCAAAGTCAGAGGATAAGGTTGACGAGAGAGGTATATACTAGCAAGCGCAATTTTGTAATATGTATGTGCTATTAATGATTTTATACTTTTGCTATTCAGACGCCGACCAGGCTGCTGTGGCTACACAAACTACACGTCCCAACTCTCCTGATATTAGTGAGAATACGCTAAGCAAAACCGACTCAACTCTCAATGCAGAAAATACTTCAGCACAAGTGGAAAATCTCGAGGACCTATCGCAAGCATCCTCGAAGGCTGAGGGCACCAGCAGCGACGGCCAGAAAAATGAACGTTACAAGAAGAGCTTACGCCTCAGTTCGGAAGCAATTGTGAGTTTGAGAAAGAAAACTTGTCACATAACCTTTTGAGCACAAGTTTTACTCTTTTATTAATTTCAGAAACAATTAAATTTAAAGGACGGCATGAATGAAATTGAATTCAGCGTTACAACTGCCTATCAGGGCACCACGCGTTGCAAATGCTATCTGTTCCGTTGGAAGCACAATGACAAAGTAGTCATTTCCGATATAGATGGCACCATAACTAAATCTGATGTACTCGGTCACATTTTGCCGATGGTTGGCAAGGATTGGGCTCAACTGGGTGTAGCACAATTGTTTTCGAAAATTGAACAAAATGGCTATAAGCTATTGTATTTATCAGCGCGTGCTATAGGACAATCACGCGCCACACGTGAATATCTACGTTCCATCCGACAGGGTGATGTAAAACTGCCCGATGGCCCACTACTACTCAATCCTACATCACTTATTTCGGCATTCCATCGTGAGGTGATCGAACGCAAGCCGGAACAATTCAAAATCGCTTGCCTATCCGATATACGTGATCTATTCCCCGACAAAGATCCTTTCTATGCGGGCTACGGTAACCGCATCAATGTATGTTGTAGAACTTTGCAGAGTTTTTGAATGTTTTAATTTGTCAATCTTTTTTCCATAATTTTAGGATGTGTGGGCTTATCGTGCTGTAGGCATACCAATTATGCGCATATTCACCATAAACACCAAAGGCGAATTGAAGCATGAACTTACGCAAACATTCCAATCATCGTAAGTACCTGAGAAACTGTTTGTTTTTTTCTTTTTCAAACATACATGTATGCATATTAAATCACATATTTGTATAAATCAACCAAGACGATTTGTAGTGGCTAATGATTAACCTTAAAAAAAAGAAATGTTTCAATCGTCTCAGTGGTGGTGTAAAGCTAATTGTGGTGATTGTCACTAAATTATAATTTATGTACAATCATGCGTTCATACATACAGAGAAAACTTATATCTGCCATTGAATGCGTTCATGAAAAACCAATACAGAACTACATAGAGAATTTATAAGCGTATAAGTTTTGGAAACAATATAGACCTTATCGTATTGAGAAGTAAAAGGTTTTTAGAAAACAACAGAACATAATGTATGCAGTTTCTATATAAACTATATGAAATTTTAATCCGAATTCCACATACCTTAATTAATCGGTTAGGAATATGAAATTTAAAAAAAAAATAATACATAATTTAACTGAGAAAGTTATAGCGAGTATGAAATAAAATAAATATGAAATTAAAAAAGTTTATTATAAGAAGTGAAGTTTAAGTCCACATTAAAAATTTACTAATGGCCTGCACGAGAAAAGCCTACCTTTGTATTTCCTTTTTTACGTACTTATTCCAGTTAGACATATTCAAATACATCCACAAAATTAAATCACCCATAGACTGAAACTAATAAAAATTGATTTTAAATTAATTCAAACATTAAAAAATATATGCTACTATATTAAGAAACGTAGATATGTACATATATACAATACATACATGCTTACACTTTCATATTAATAACCATCATGTAATTGGCGAAGGTTGTAAACTTTCGAAATTTTTCTGCGCATATTTAAAATAAACGTTAACACAAAGCAAAATTCACGCCCCTCGAACCTAATATAAAAACAAATAATGTACATATATATTAACAGAAATATGTATGTGTATTCCACATAACGACAAACTACGAACAATGTCCATATTCACCAAAGCACATTTATAAAAATAATCTATCCTTAGATGTATGCCTCAACATTTGTAAATTCATTTGTAAAAGTAAAAGTGAACGAAAAAACTCATAAAAATGATTTCTAAAAAGCTACAACTTGCTAAAGTACATATATGTATTTTCCAAACATTTTGCAAACCTTATTGTAGCGGTTACATCAACCAGTCGCTCGAAGTCGATGAATACTTCCCACTGCTGGATCTCAACACATACGAATATCGCACCGACACTTTTGATGACGAAGAAGAGGAGGACGAATTGAAATTCAGCGAAACGGATGACGGCATAGATGATGTGAGCCTCAGTGATGCTGAGCTAGATATGGATGTAGATGATATTTATCGAGTTGACTACAATGAAAAAGCGGATATGAATAATGAGGATGAAAACGGTCTATCATTGAGATTAGATGATGGCAAAGTAACACGTGCCACTGAAGTATTTGCGCAAGCGCGTAATACTATGATCACAATTGGCGTGCCTCCAATTGGAACCAACAACTAGATAGACACAGGTTCATTTAACGGCTTTTTAGAGACGAATGAGTCTTCCAAAATGAATTTAGTTACCTGTGGAAATTATACAAAGTATTTTGAAATTTATATATACTATATACATAATATTGCTGTAATTTTTATATAAGACAAACTCGGGGTAATGGTGCAGTGGAGCAAAGGGTGCTCAAATTACATATATATATATATATGTGTGTATATATATGCATATTGTGATAATTGTGATAATTTAGTTTTGCAAATATTTGTGTGAAATCTATATACACATATACATACGTTATTGTTGACAGTTTTATTTAAAAAACTGCTTTGTTACAATAACAAAGAAAGGTTTTTTTATATATTATAGATGAATAGTTTAAGCGTCGGCTATAGTTATGATATTTACACAATTGCTTTTTGGCAAAGACAGACTCTATGTATTTTTAAGACCATATTGTTTTGAAAGTTGCTTAAAAAAGTTGGGAAAAATATAAAGAAAGTATTCGTTAAAACACATATGTATACATATATTATATGTAAGCGTTACAGTATGTACCTCAAATACCGTTAGTACTACTGAACTAAAAATAATAAATATTTGTTTTTATTTTATAAATTATCTTATTGTAAAAAATGAATCGATATTAAATCCACAAGCTGGACTTGGATTATTGTTTATTTTATTTTATTATTAATGTTCATAAACTATAATATTATTGTTACTGATTTCGTTTTAAAGTTTTACATTTAATATAACTACATACATACATAATACATATATGAGCTAGGTATTAGTTATTATGCATTTTCTTTAAATATATTCACAAATGCGTATACTAAAATTTACAAACACACACACAAATGTAAATATATGTATTTGTGTATATATCTCTAAAAGTACATAACAGATTCTATACGAATAAACGTCAAAATTTATCATTTTTGGGCTTGTTTTATTTTTAAACTATTTTCTCAATATATTACAAAGAAAATTTGCCTAACTCGTTTTCCCAGGAATTGTTTATTAGTTGTTGCTTTATTACCATAATCTTTGGAGATGTTATTTAAATGATGAGTTTAATAAATTCTGCTTTCAAAACTAATAAACTCGTGAATAAAGACCCTTTAACTGTAGCGTAAAAATTCTTTTTTTTTTTTTTTGGTAAATTGTTTGATTTAAAAAAATCTGAGAACATTACGATTTTCATGTAGAAATGTAGAGAACATTTTGTATTAAAGTCAATTTTATAGGACAAATATGCGAATTATGGCTTCTGCACATTGAAGGGACTATAATAGCTTTTTTTTGGTTACTTTTCATTGCTGCATGCATACTTTTAGGATCAATTTTTTTCCAAAAAAAAAAAAGTGTAATCTACCATCGGTAATCTATCTTTATATTTTAGTTAAAATCGGATCATAAGTAAATTATGGCACTAAGATTTAGAAATAAATTAAGTTAGTAAAAAATTATATTTTTTTTTAATAAATTAACATAAACATTGCCTATTTTACGGCGTTTCCACTCGCTCGAAGTACATTCAAACTAATTCAATTGTAAATACATATGTATTTAGCACGCATCACCACAAGACGAGGGATCACATTCACCAGCGCTTTTAGGGAATTGGTTTGCTGTGAGAAATATTTATCAAAATAAAATTGCATACTTTATGACGCTAGCAATTGTTTTAGACTTACTTACGTGCATGTATCTATCTGCTTATAACACTTATCCTTTATTTGGTTTTATAGGTACTGCAGCATGACTTACATTGTGGATCAACTATTTCCGCCCATACGTGACGACGAGGGCGACGTGGAATACTCCAACTTCAATTATTGGCGCGATCCTATACCGGATCTGGATTTAGTTTTGGATAACACTACCACCACCGCCATAGAAGCCGCAACTAGCAACAACAATGAAGTGAATGCAATGCTGCAAAAGGGCTTAGCAACCATTCCAGAAAATTAATACTCAACTCAACAAAAGTAAAGGAGGAAAAAAACTAAAAAACTAAAAAATAAAAAGAAAAACCACTTACTACATTTACTAAAAGATAAGCACTAAAACCGAATAAGTGGAAACCATACCAAAAACAACGCTAAAGTAGTGTATAAACGAATTCATTATGTATATGTATGTATAAGGACAATTTATTTGCGCCACACGCTTGACAAATTTCTTTATGCACTTAGCAATGAGATAGTCTGAGTTTGAAAGATTTCAATAAATAAGTAGACATACGCGCTTGGTATATTTTAAATGTCTGTCGGAACTGAAGGAGAACAACTGTCTCTGCAACCAAATTTCCAAAAAATTTAAATTTCTCTTGTAGCGATGATGCGCACAGATCTGATAATACTAAAATATCTATAATTTGTTAACTCTTTGAAACGATGGTTAGGAGGGACCAAAAATGTAAAAGCGGTACGATTGCTGAGTACTTTTTGTGCCCAAAGTAAAAAAGATGGGTTTAAGCGTGAAAATGCGATATTTTTCTTTTTTAGTGGCAACGCAGGTGTTTCCAAACACAAATTTTTTCATTACTTAATTATATTTTTTCATATAATTGCTCATGATACAAAAAACAAGGTGATTTCACTCAGAAATTTTGTGAAAAATATTAACCATATGACGTAAAATGATTTTTTGACTACTGTTTTATTTTTGTGTTACCAATTTCATTTTTTAAAAGATAAATTTACGATTTTCATAGAAAACTAAAAAAAAAATATTTTACCAAAAATGTAAAACCTTTCATGTAAACAAAAAATAAAGAAAAGCGACCAACTCAAAGGTTTTGAATTGTATATTCTGAAATGTAATAGAAATAAAATTATTTTCAAGCGGCTTATCCTTTTTTATAATATATGAATATATGAAATATATTTGAAGTAGCAATATCTTGAAGTTAAAATTAAAAAAAAAAAGCTTTAATGTCAAAAAATCTTTTTCTGTCAATTTTATATTCATTATTTTATGGAATTGCGTGAAAATTCAATTTTCCGAAAAGACTATTTTTCGTTGTGAAAAGTACATGCATAATTACTTTTCGAACTAACCAATTTAGATAAAACTAAAAGCATTCAAAACCCTTGGTTATTACACAAATATGTGTGCATATGCCCAGAAAATGTTACTTATGTACGTATGTAAATTCTATTTAAATAAGTAAACCATTACTGTAAATTCACTCAAATTAATTATTCTAAGCAAAGTTTGAGGAAAGAAAGACATTTCGACGGCCTACCGCACACATATTGAGGAATTTAATAAAGTATGTAGCTGTCTCACAGCTTCGAGGCGATTCTTTAAGGAGAGGAGATTCTTTAAGTTATTCTAACCCAATTTATAACAATGAATCAGGCCAGAGGCTCACTTCTAACTACCACACATATTAATCTAATTTTTGGACCTGTAAATTTTTTTTTCACTTTAAGCACTAACTCTGGACAAATGACAAGTGAGTATTTAGCGCCGCCAGCGATGTTTGGAAAATCGCTTCAGCAGTTACAGAGCGCCAATTATATATATACGTGCATATAATATTAGGCTGCGTATTATGGGTAATAATCAGTGTGTACGCGAGTTAAAAATGCTATATATGAAATTCGATGTAGATAATATTTTTAAATGTTTAATTAGTTCTTCAACTTTTCTATTTTTTGTTGATTTTAATGATGCCAAGAAACAAGTAGTGGAAATTAGCTTCAAGCTCTCTTTGTTTGAGCTCATACATTTATTTGCAATTATTTAATTCAATAAATTTGCTAAACTATTAAATTATATACATACATATGTAACATGCTGACTGCATTTTCTTTCACTTCCTAAGACTTTATTTATGTATTTTCAAGCATATATTTGTTGATTTAGGGAAACAAAAACATTTCAAAACTACTTATGTATATGGCTCATCGGTATTTGCGATCTTTTCCAACCTTCGTCTTCGAATCGAATTATTCGTCTGCAGACATGAGCACCATTATATGCACTATATGTACGTGTATATACATAGCAAGCGGTAACAGCTTACATATACTTTCATACTAACATACATTTGTATGTACGTGCATAAGTATATAATTTACAGATATGCATATATAATAAAATTGTGATAAATTTTAAGGCCTTTACTTTGTAATTATTAATAATTAAGACGAATTTCATTTAAATGAAAATGTCATGTTTTTATTTAAGATTTATAAATCATTCATCATCATTTTGATCACTTTCGTTTCAATTATAGCTAGTTTTATTATTAATGAATTTTCTTTATTGTGATATATATACATACATACATGTATGGAAAATAGCAACTTAAAAAAATCATAAAAAACATTTATTTACTGCATAAATGCATAAACGTTATTATATTTAGTATTTACGTTTGAAAATATTTTGAAAAAAAAAACCAATTTTTTTTATGTTAGGTTTAGGTTGCGGTGGCTACCGAACTAACAGACCGGATTCACTTAGGCCTGACTTAGATCCATTGTTACTTTCAATGATTTATTCCATTTATTATACCAGCATTATAATTTCTTTTTACGTACTTTATTTAAAAAAAAAAAATGTTAAAAAAATGTGTGCACTTTGTTGCATTTTTTGCTTTCAACTAAATTCTGTGGGATTTTCGAAAAGTTGAATAAACATCAATTATTATAAAACAGACAAGCCTTTGTACTTACATACATATAACGTATATAAACGTGCATGATTTGCTTGATAAGACGCTGCTGATCGTTCGCCTTATTGCTCCTCTTTAAATTTAGCTTAGCAAACACTTTCATTATCGCTTATTGAATTGAGCTATATTATAGCACAAATACCATTTCATACATATTTAAATACCAAACGTTATAAAGTATCTTATATATTTAAATAGATTTCAATAAAAAAGACACTTGTAAGTTACAATGTGAACTCGAAGAAATATGTCTGAAATTAATAAATAAATAAAAAAAAATGCTTGCGTACATTTTTAATTTTTATTTCGAAATTTTGGGTTTACCAACTATTTGTTATTTCTCAAATAATAGAAACAAATGAATCTTTGACTTTTCCAGAAGACCTTATGCACGTTGTGACACACATAGTTAACTTATTACTTTTAAATTCCCATACAACAAGATTTTATAATTTCCAATTAAAGTCAATGGCTACGAGTCTGAGCTCCGCAGTCGAAACGATATTGGTCACTCCTAAATTCAAATTCGTTTTAATTCTAGATAGTAAATTCAAACAATGCAATTTAATCTTGTCAATATGAAGACGAGACCATGTACAAGTTGTGTCCCACAGAAACAGGGAATCTTTTGAAGAAAAAAATAAACGAATGAAAAACGATGGCAAACCCGATTCGCCTTCTTAAAACTCAACAAAGCGACGACGGCCTATGAATTTCCGGATGAGCTTTTCAAAAATGGCGGCGAAGAAGTGATTAGGTGCATGAAACCACTTGTTTGCAAAAAATGATCGGGTGGAAGGATTTCTGACGTTTGGAACCTAATTATGATCTGCCCAATCAACAAAAAAACCAATTACGATTGCATAAGCCTACTTAATATTGCATATAATGTCGTATAAAGTGTATCCTGTGGAAGATTAACAAGCTAATTGGATCGGCACACACCATCTCTTCGTCGATTTTAAAGCAGATTTCGACAGCTAGGAAGAGAGCTGCCTCTACGATGCTATATCTGAATTTAGTATCCCCGCAAAACGTATATGGCTATGTAAACTGACCTTAAGTATCCCTAAAAGAACCTCTCCGAGCCGTTCGATACGAAATGAGATTTCACCACTTTCTTTACAGCTGGAAAAAATAATACGAGGTGCAAAGCTGAATAGAGAAGGTACAATCTTTTATAAGAGTGTGCTGTTATTATTGTCAGCATTGGTCTCAACAAAGGCGTCGTTCTAAAGACTGTA